CCCGCCCCGCCGCACCAGCTCCGCAATTTGCATAGCTATTATCTCCCACCGGGCCCACCTAGGCCCACCGGCCTGCAGGGCCCCTCCCCGCCACGCCCCCCGCCAGCCAGATGTTTTAATGGAAACGCGCAAATGAAGACGCGAGACCGAGCAACGCTTTTCATTGTGTTTCCAGAGCGTGGAAGGGGCGCTCTTTAACGGTATAGTGAACGCGTCCGCGGGTGGTGGCGGGGCGCGAGACAGGAGGCAGACGTCATCCGCTTGAGCCGTCTTTTGCCTTTGGCGGGGACGCTATTTTTATACCATACTGCTCTGCGTCCAAGGAAGCCTCTCCTGAACGCGGAGTGTCTGGTGACGCAAATGGGCTCCTTTCGCTGGTAACGGACCCCCTCCTCTGCATGTTGACTTTATATTTCTGTTTCGATGTGGCCTTGCGGCAACGTCGACGACGACGCCTCCCCAGAGGGCACGGAGCTCTTCGCTTTACCAAGAGGCTGATTCGCACCGCGCTGTGCCGCATTCCTACGTGCAGTCGGGTTGCCTACTCGCTCGGCCCGCCAGGGCGATATGCACAAGTGCGCGGGGTGGTTGATCCTCCTGGTATGGCGCCCCGATAGGGCATCAGGAGAGCCCTTATTGTCTCGGGGTGGCAGGGCTGCTCAGTGGTGCCTGGCGTCGGGGGCCAAGGACTGTCAGCGTCCCTGCCGGTCCCAGCTCCCTCGCAGCAGCCCCGACAACGCCAATCATTAGCTCGCCGTGAACCGCGAGGTCTTTTTGCGTTCCCCCGCGCCACTCTTTCTGAATGGATAGAGACGCGACTGTTTTTCAGCGGCCAGGAGGCCACAGGCGGGTCAGCGCGGCAAAGCGACCACGCCCAACTCGATGCTAGCGCGTGTCTGGCAGGGCCGCTTCACCCGACCACGCCCCACCACGCCCTGAGCACACCACCCTCCGGTGCGCCGGGCACTCGGCGCCACGCCCTAGGCTGCTAAAAGCACCACCGATTAGGGCCGGGCTGGCCACACTGCTAAGCGTGGGCGCCCCGCGAAAATAGAGTTGATTCCGAACGGAGTGAGAAGCGGTGAGAAGTCAGTGAGAGGATGGACATGCTACGTCATCAGGACACACAGGGTGGTCACTGTGCCCCGCGTACGGGCCTGATGTCTCTAGCCATGCCGCCTGAAGGCCTCGTGCGAAAAGGCAACCTGTCAACACGTCTGCAGCAGAGCAAAAGGAGATTCAAAGTAGTGGCGCTAAAATCCGACCTTGAATGGGAGTCCGCCTGAATGCGCGAAATATGCACTTTAACGGCCGGATGTTAAAGGTTTATGAGGGGGTCTACTGTGCCCTCCTC